AAAACTAGAAAAGTTGTCTTCTGTCATGTAAAAATCAAATTCGTAGATATTTGTACACCGCAGGAGGAGTTTTGCTGGTTACGTATAGATTCATTTTTGAATCGAAAGCAATGCCTGTTGTTTCTATAAGAGATGGTGTACTGCCCGAAGTACCTCCAATCACAGTTTTCTCTGTCGATGAGCCAACACAAAACATAGTTACTCGATTCAAATTAGTATCAGCAACATACAAATTATTATACCAATCAACAGCAACTGAGGTTGCTTGATTGAAAGTACTACTGCTGCCATAAGTTGCGGAAGGGGTGGATACTCCGCTTGTCCATCCAGCAGCATTTTTATTACCCTCATCACTAACATAGAATTGGTTAGTTGAATTACTTTGAAATGCGATTCCATATGGCTTACTAAAAGAAACACTACCGAAAGCGATAATACCACTACTTGTGTTTGAAGGATATTTCATGACTCTCTTGTTATTGTAGTCAGTTATATACAGATTACCACTATTGTCAACAACTACGTTTGTAGGTAGATCAAGTAGACTGTCTGAATTGCCACTACTTCCGGTGGTACTTCCAGCTACAGTGGTACCAATGTTCGAAGGTGGTCTAAACCGTTGAACACGATGATTTTCTGTGTCCGCCACGTACATGTTACCATTTTGATCAAATGTGAGACCACGTGGTTTTTTTAGTTGATTTGAATTAGCTCCCTCACTGCCACCAGCAACTGTTGTACCCAACACGGCTCCTTTAGTCCATTTTTGAATACGAGCATTGATCGTATCACAAACATATACTGTGTCGTTAGCATCAACATACACGCACCTAGGTTCTTTTAATTGAGACGGATTCGAACCTTCGGTACCATCACCAGCGACTCGAATACCTGTTGTATTATAACGAATACCGTTACCTGAAACGAACCAATATTGTGGAGATCGAATGGTGAAGTTGTCTTCGATAAAGGAATAAACTTACAAGTATCGAAGGATGTTGTTGATGTAGATGTAGTTTGTGTTGTTGTCGCTAAGTAATAAAATGTATGATTAGCTCATCATATGTGCTTTCGATACGTTTAAAAAATTAAAAAGTTCTAATGGATCAGATTTTCCATGAGTTTTTCATTTTACAAATATGACTATTATCTTAAAATTTAATTTCTTTTCGTTCAAACATATTCTTCTGTAATAGTAACGCATCTATCTAACTATATTTAGAGTAGAGAAGGAAATAAGATCGATTTAGAACTATAAATTTTTCTGCTGCTGTGTAAGGCGCTTTGTAATTAAGCACACGAGTAGAAGATACCATACAGTATCATAATTTGTTTTTGAATATGAAGAGTGATTAAAAAACTTCCAGAATTTGGTAATCTCGAGTTACAGTTCCTAGTGAAAAGATTAATTTATGATACAAGTGTTTTTCGCAAATACTTTTTCCAGGGATTCCACGAAATTCTATGTCACCCAGAAGGTAACTGTTTACCTTTCCCATGAACAGCGAAAAAAGGATACAACTGAAAGTTGGAACTTAGCACTATTCGTTTTAAGAAATCAGATGCTCTTTAGAGGTCGATAGATCTTGTACACGCTAGTTAGCGTAAAAACCACTAATAAGAAAAGATCTACCATAGCTCTCAAATTCAGAAAATCGAACCATTCATTGTGAATACTTCCCTGGTTGTATAAACTCAAACATTCATTAATTAGATACATCAAAACAAAAAAAAGGTTTCTGAAAATTCATATCACACATTCCATTTGTACATGAAGAATCATCTTCTCATGCTTCATCTTTCATTCCATGATTGATGCTAATGATGGAAGGCCATGGGTGTTTCTCTGAGATTTCAACGAAACCTATGTGGGTTTGTGAGGTCAAATGTTAGTATCTCTAATACAGCAAAATTAGCGGCTGACATTAATCCGTTCAAAAATTTGGAGTAAAATCATTTTTAGCTTAGAACCCTGAGGGGGACCACAGCTGAATTTTTCCAATAAACAAAGTTCACCGCAAAATTTGAAATACTAGTTAGTCCCCTCAGTGTTTAATGCTCATTCCAAATATGTTATTGGTTCTCGCTCATGCTGTATTTGTCTCATCGAAAGTTGCGCATTACATATGTTAAAAACGTAGATCTTTCAGGGGTTTCAAAATGTATGACTTCATAAAATTTCAAAAGCTCTATCGACTGATATACGAAGAATTACATAAACCGACTGATGTGATTCTCTACACTGTAATGAAACTACTAATAGAACACAATTTTGATTTAACTTATCACCGATTGACAATAAAATGACAAATAAAAGATATGAATAAATTTTTCTCGATAAATTTATGCTGAAATGAATCTATGTAGAATTCAATGCTTCATTCAATAAAAGTAGCACGAAATCAATATGACATGGTTGTGAAAATATATCAGCAAAATATGTTCCGGTTTTCACGATTGTCAGTTTATGATTTTGTTAATATTTATAATTGTTTTGAAAACATGATTAATCCCTTGAATTGTTCAGTGTGAGTTCATGGTAGAGAAGAGGAAAGGCTTTTATCTACAAAGTTCTACACACACAGCAGAAAATCCTAAGAAAGCTTAACAAAAACCTGTGATTTGTTACTGACCGTCTATATGAATAGACTCGCGTGACAAAAGCACGCAGAAAACTTAACTCTGCAGCTAGACTAGATAAGCATATTTTGATTGTTTTAAATATATGTATTTTTATAAACTAGGCCAACATCGTTTCTTTCTTTCTTTAGTCATCTATTTTGTCACTGTCACCCATGCAAATATCCCCAATTCATCAAATAGAAAATCCATATGCCACAGCAAATATCTTACTATTGATATTCTCTTACTTTCTAAGGTGCGTCTCCATTACTTTTTCTTTTGCACCCACTAGGTTTTCCAGTAGCCGATATGGGTCGAGGGATTTCTGAATCGAATCTTACACTGCGCATATGAACATCATGGATCATTTAATAGCACATTGAATTTTACGTAGATTCTATTCCACATAAGTTTATCGAGAAAAATTTATTCATACCTTTTATTTGTCGTTTTATTGCCAATCGGTGGTAAGCTACATGAAAATTCTGTTCTACCAGTAGTTTGATGATCGATAGAGAATCACATCAGTCGGTTTATGTAATTCTTCGTATATCAGTCGATAGAGCTTTTGAAATTTTATGAAGTCATACATTTTGAAACCCCTGAAAGATTTGTAATTTACAAACTTCGTGAAAGACTACTGTTAAGATATAATTTTCTACGTTTTTAACATATGTAATGCGCAACTTTCGATGAGACAAATACAGCATGAGCGAGAACCAATAACATATTTGGAATGAGCATTAAACACTGAGGTGACTAACTACTTTGTTTAGTGGAAAAATTCAGTTGTGGTCCCCCTCAGGATTCTAAGCTAAAAATGTTTTTACTCCAAATTTTTCAACGGATAAATTGCAGCCGCTAATTTTGCTGTATTAGAGATACTAACACTTGACCTCACGAACTCACATAGGTTTCGTTGAAATCCCAGAGAAACACTCATGGGCCTTCCCTCGAAAGTATTGAAAATCGAATCTGCATTTTCAGAAAATTTTTCGAAAATTATGCTTACTAGTGATTGATTTGGAAATGTAACTCTTATTATATGAAAGTAGGACTTTACTTAGTTCTGTACAATTATTTTTAGATTTTTTAAAAACCCAATTTTCTTACAAAAATAAACCAGAGAGTGATTGAACGTGTGATGTGACGCATCACTTGTAGTTAATTCAATAGACTAAATATTTATACCAGTTTAGATTTATTATAGTCAATGGATCTATATAACTGAGTAAGCAAATGGTGGTGAGGAAATGAATTTATTATTATAACAGTCAATATGTTAGAAATCAATTCGAGTTGGAAAATACTGCCACTTATTTTCAAATCATTTCGTTTGCATCCAAACTAGAAAATTTTAGACATTTAAATTATGTTTACAAAAATTAGAATCAACGAAAGTTAATTCAAAGAAAAAATCAATATAGTTGCAACTTGCAAGAACAATATCTGCGATTTGAAATACTAAATAAAGTAAAGAAGTTAATGTTTTATGAATTCTATCTTACGAGAGTAACTGAAAAAAAGTTCACACTATAGATGTATAACTGTTATTTACGCAAAAATCACAAGATTTTAGTAAAACTGTTTCCGAAAATAGACCACTATAATTTAGAAAAATCAAAGAGAAAATATTAATTTGCAATATTGTTAGAGTTTCAATTGAATGTTAATTAAATATTGCTAATTTCCAACATCAAATCGAAAAGGATTAAGGATCAATTGGTAACATTCAACAGAACAATTCCTTTTGCATTTTCGTCATGAAAATAGTTTCATAAACGTTCAATAAAAATCTTTAAAAAAAATTCTCGATATTCTACATAACTTTAAATCTATATGCAAAACCATTTGTCAACTTCATCATTTAATAAGTGATTGAATCAGGTTCTGCGCAAGTACAGATGATTTTGAAAAATATTTTGAGACATTTAAATTCGAACAGTATCTGATTCAAATCGCGTGTCTTTTTTCAGCTCAGTCGTTAATAGCAGAAAGCAAATATTTCTAATTTAAACTTGTCAAAGATATGTCATTAAAAGTAACATTTCATTGTCAATGATAATTCTCATACTCATGTATAGTACATATGAGCCAAGACGCGATCTAACTTTTCACTAATTGGCACAGAAGTGAAGTTTGATGTATATGATATGTCTTGGCTATGGAAACAAACCGAAACGTATCTTTTTTCAAATACATTTTACTTATATTTTAGGTAGTAACAATGCTTTGTGACATTCACATTAAGAGTAAATAAAACTAAAATTCTAGAAAAAGACAACTAAAACTTTGAGTTAGATATGAATAACTCCATATATAGGAATTGAGGTCGTTTTTATATCAGTAAGTTGTTAACACTTCAAAATATGAATAACGCAATCCTGACTCGGCATCATTCAAAAACTACTATTTGAAATGGGAACTGCGCTTCATTCAGAGTGATTATTTTAATTGAAGATAGAAAACTTAGTGACTAACATCAGAAAAAGAAACATCAAAATGTGTAACCTCAGTCAATGAATATTAAATATACACCTTGAAAAGCGCCGACCTCTCTTTATTTTAGTCTTATGAAATCACTAACATGTACGATGTTTTTGCATCTGTATCTTTCAATCAATGCTTATCAGAGGTATTCAAGATGACTTAGCTAATTTATCAGAGTGGAAACGCCAAGTCATCTAGAATGCGTCAACTAAAACAATAAAACAAAATACTGTGGCAGACATGCAACTAAATAGATTAAAGCAAAAATTTTGAATTAAATAAACAAGAGAGCCTACATGTTGTCTTCGTCGTTGTGGTCGTAGTACTGGTTGTACTTGTAGTGGTGCTACTTGTAGTTGTGACACTCGTTGTTGTGGACGCAGTGGTTACTGTTGTACTTGAAGTAGTCTTCGTTGTGGTTGTGGTGCTACTCGTTGTTGTCTCAGTGCTACTTGTTGTACTTGTCGTAGTTGTAGCTGTTGTCGTTGCGCTCGTTGTTGTGGCCGTTGTCGTACTTGTTGTGCTCGTAGTTGTAGTTGTAGTACTTGTTGTTGTGGACGTAGTAGTCGTTGTTGCACTTGTTGTGCTCGTAGTTGTAGTTGTAGTAGTTGTTGTTGTGGACGTAGTAGTCGTTGTTGCACTTGTTGTGCTCGTAGTTGTAGTTGTAGTAGTTGTTGTTGTGGATGTAGTGACTGTCGTTGTACTTGAAGTAGTCGTCGTTGTAGCTGTTGCACTTGTTGATGTGCACGTAGTTGTCGCTGAAAAGAAATAAATTACACGATCGTTTATGCGACATTTGAGTACACTCACAGGTGGTTTGACTAGCCGTTGCGCTTCTTGCTAAAATTAATAAGAGAAGAGAAAAAAATAGAAATAACTGAACTATTTTGATTTTGCACGCGTATATATATATCCAAGTTAATGATTTCAGAGAAGAAAATTGCGGGAGCGGGCAGGAAACGGTGGACAAAACTTCTGTATCTTTGCAGAAAAAGTCGGTAAATCGCATAAATCAGAAGCAGTATTCCGGCCAGAAATTTTCGTTTTTCTACGATGCTTTTCCGGTTGGTTTCTGAGAGAAAGCGTAGGAAATTCATTGTAATTCATCGGAAAAAATCTGAAAAATTTTCGAAGGGAACACGGCTATTATGTTCCGACGACTTCCGGCATTTTCCTACCGTTTCCCGCCATACGTCTTCGACCACGGAGGGGAAAACGTTTAATGGTAAGCGTCGCTGATAACAGTCGGGTAAGTACGAATAAAGCAAATAATATTCTCCAAAATATGCTCCCCTAAATGAACGCGTCAAACGATGATGTCGTCGAATATATATTTTGAAATAGTGATTAGTGCTACTGAACTTTTCCTTCCCATTCCAAGCCGAAAAAAAATTGTTTTTGCGATTCTGACTCCGCTTCCTGAAATAAACTTTTCGTGGATCCAATTCCTATTCCGACTCCGATTCCGAAAAATTTCGAGAATTTTTACATGATTAAGTGACATCTAACACATGTTGAAATCATATGTAATACATAGCTAGCGACTGAAAACGAATCAGAAGAGAAATAACACAAACAACAGTATGACACGAAAGCGAACTATACCGATTTCATCTTCAACTACAGTGTCTTCTCGAAATTCAATATGTAGAGCACCAAAATTAATATATATTGATGTCGAAGACAATATAGATGACTTTATTGGTAGTAAATACTGTTTTAATTAGTTTGTATTTTATATCTTGTAAATGTTAGTATAGTTTTCATTCTTTTCTTATCATATTTCATAGAACTCGTGAAAATAAAAACATTTTTTTTTCTATTCGGTAGCATAAATTATCAATAAACTTACTGATGAATTAAAATCAAATCATAGTACTCTCTTTACAACTATAGATAGCATTCTACTTTCGAAAAACAGATTTGATCACTAGAAGGAAAATCGAAAACAAAAAAAAATTGGAATTCATCATAAGTTTTTTTCCAATTCCAATCCGAAAAAGTCGGAATTGGACTCGAATTTTGGATTCCAAATTAGAGGTGTCAGCCGTGCGGCTGAGCCGCCGCCGCCGCTGAGGTACTTTAATTACAGCCGCCGCGCCGCCGATGAAATTCAAAATTTTAAAATTTATCAGCCGCCGCCGCTGACACCAATTATTAATATCGATGATTTTGATTTAGATTTCCTCTTTTTTCGATGTTTTTCTATCTCTTTCATGAATTGTTCATTTCAATATTATTTATGTACATTATCTGTTATGACAAGATGTAAAACAAAGTTGTTTTACGTATTAACGATAAGATATTGAAATTGACAAGTTTTTCTTGTTCACGAAATAATAATGTATTTTAAACTTCCCAGCCGCCGCCGCCGTCAGCAGCGAAAAAATAATTTTTTTTAAACCGCCGCCGCCGTCAGCAACGAAAAAATAATTTTTTTAAAGCCGCCGCCGCTGTGCAGCCAACATATTTGAGCAAGCCGCCGCTGAGTACTAAAAAAAAAGTTTAAAAAATTGGCGCCGCCGCCGGACAGCACCTCGGCTGACACCTCTATTCCAAATATGTTCCCTAGTGTCGAGTAGGTTCAATGTTCTATGTTCGCTCTCTCTTTTTGTTGTATATGTTATCTATAAGGGTCTTCTTTCGCTCAACTCTGAGTATATAAAGAGAAGACGAGGGTAAATAAATTCATCTTGGTGTGGTGATTACACTAAAATCGTTACATCTAGGAAGCCTAATAACAGGGGACAACGACTGCTCTAAAGAAATAAGAAGAAGAATAAAAGCAGCAAGAGCAAATAGCAGTCTTGAAGCACATACGGAACGGCAAGAAACTAACAGTAAAGAACAAATTAAGGACCCTAGCAACACGTGTCTTCAGTGTACTACTATTCACCTCAAAAACATAGTCCTCGAAATAGATCTACAAAAGAAAGAAATTCGCATTCAAGTTGAAAAGCTACCGAAGGATACAGTGAGAATCAACCGGAAAGGTATGATAAGAAATGAGGATATTAGGAAGAAAATATTGAAAGAAGAAACTATAATAGGCATAGTGTAGAAGAGAAAGTAAAAACTATTTGGCCATATCTGTAGAATGAACTGTTACAATCTTCTTCTTATTATTACATTCTCACAAGAAGCAAATCCCCCTTTCTTTAAACATTAACACTCCCTTGAATAGAAAGATACGAGAAGAAGAATGGAGTGATTGTAAACGTGATAGAATGAAACTGAGAGAAGAACAGAGAACATACTTATGGCAAGACAGATTTCTGCTGACATAACATGAACAATAATAGGCCAATAAAACACACAATATCCGAAAAAATGGATGAAAAATCTCGAAGAGGTCGTCCATGCAGATAATGGCTGGATCACATCAAAGATTGGCGTGGAAGCAGCAGACAAGACCTGCTCGACCTAGCACAAGACCAACAGTTATGGAAGAAACCAATCCTCAGAGTGGTTGACTCCAACAAGCAATAAGCCTATGAAACATCATGAATCATGAATCTCTCGGATTAGCATGAACTAAGATCAATTATTTCGTCTGCATTTTTAGTCGATTTTAATCTGACTATTCACTCGATTATTTGGAACACAGAATCGGGAAGCATAACATATTATGACTGACGATTTAATGAAGGGCTGGTGATTGCAGACCATTAAAATCTCAAGAAAATATATCAATTGCTTGTTTACTGAGATTCTGACTACTAACAGTTACAGATTAAATGTTTCCAAATATATATGGAACAAACCAGCATTCCGATCCTTAGTATTAGTAGATACGATATGTTTCACTTTTTTGTTCATATCAATGGGGTTGCGCCAACAGTTTTTTTTACATATCGACAAGTCACCACCGTCGTGAGTCCTTCCTTTTCTGTTTTTCAATTCTATTATATTCTACTACGAAACACTTCTGTAACGAATGCTTTTTTTTTAGTATATTGAATGTTGCTACTCAACCCAGATTTTTATCGATAACTAAGAACAGAAGACAGAATAAAAAATGCAATCTAACCTAAATTTTACTGCATTTGATAGAATGATGAATAATCAGTAAATGATTGAAGGACAAGTATGCATATTAAAACTAATTTCATCGGTTACCAATCTTTTTCTTCTTATTCAATAATGTATGCATAATCGACCTAATTGCACCAAATTATTTACTGAAACGATACTTCTACACTAGTACTCCATGCATGTTTTTATCACACATTCTAGATCTCTTATTTAGTTTTAATAAATATGAATTGTGAATCACAGAAACTATATCAAAGCTGAACGAAATCATAGAAACAAAACTTTTAATAACTGTGGTTGCGAGAAATTTATGCTGACTATTCCAATACATATTGGTTAATGTTGAAAAAAGGATTTCATGAAAGTGCAGGAGAAGAGGATGAGAACAAAGAACTTAAAGCATGATCCTGACGTGTTCATATTCAGCTTATTTGGAACGACCTATCTATTTTTATTTCGGAATATGCCATAACGAACAAACAAAATCTTTCAAAATCGTTTTTTTCTCTTGATAATTGAATATTAGAGCCCTTATCAATGTTCATTGAAAAGATCATGTTGCTCTATGTGATATCGTATTTGTCGCTAGTTTTGGAAATAATCAAATTATGCAACTCAATTATCAATTCAGGAACCATAATGAATTTTTAGTAATAAACTGTCTTACAATCATCACGATGAAAATCTATGATTGTTCTCATATTCTAAAATGGATTTTAAGGTTGTTTCAATTGAATTATTTGCTCACATGGTTGGATTTCCATTTAAAAAAGTAGACTTCTTCGAAGATATTTTTCCGAATACGATACAGACCTAATAAAATGATGGCAGCTACCAACGCACTTAACAGGATAAGTCCAACTATACCAAAAGCAATAGAGAGACAGCAACAAGACGATATATTGATAAATGCACCACGACGTCTAAATCATAGTATATTGTTTTGTATTCTAAGACGTTTAATGAGAGCAACGTACCTTTTACGATTTTTCCAGGCATCTCCCTGCTTACCTCCTCGTTCAAGCGTTGGAATCCACGGATAGATGAATCGCTTTGAATGATTTGCTGGTTGTTGACGTTTCAACGATATTGAAGGATACTTGTTTTCGTTATCAATTGTTTGTTGCCGTCTATGAGCGTCTAATAGACTTTTGTTTTTCATTTCATCGCTCACATGATTCAATTGAGACTGTTCGCTGGCACTCTAAAATTTCTCGTTTCTATGACATTCTTAAAAATATTCCCAGCATTTATCATACCGTCCACGTACGACTCTGTCTCCAAATCAATGATGTTTCACTTTTACGTGATATGGATTGTAAGCTATTCGCCTAGAATAAATGACATGAAGAAGTACGATGAACTACAATTTTCATTTTAGAAGCATGGAAATTAGATAACTGTTAAAAGACAAAAAGGGACGTATATAACCTATACAATATTTATCTTTTCTCTAACTTTGATTTTCGATGATTTGATATCATTCAAAAAATAAACGATAGGTTTATCGCGTTTAGATAGCACAATAGCTGGAGCACTAGTCTGAAGAACCGACAATTATATCAAGTGTTCGATTCTCGAATGATAAAAAATTGCCAAAATCGGAGAAAGTAAAAGAATTAGCATTGTATGGTTTTAACAATTACATTGATGTAAAATCGAATCTCGTTTAAAGGCACCATGGGTTCATGAATCTACCTGCGACGCTGAAACTTGAGATCATCAAGGCGAAAATATCTTTGAACTGTCCAGTCGAAAAATCGTTTCTATATCAGTAATCTAATTATGAACATAAAACTAGTAAATCTGCAATATTTTTTGCATGATAATTCTACATCAAACTTTTAATTTCAGTTTGAAAATCGTCAAATTGAACTAAAAGCTTTCGTAGACTGAGAGGAATAGAAGAAACTAGAGTTTACGATGATAAACATATCATATTTGAAAAGCAATTTTTGCTTAACTATTGTTCGACTAGTTTTCTATTATTACAAGTTTTCGAAATTTGTGTTCCTAATTGGCAGTGCTGAAAAGAAATAATTCTGCGATCGAACTTGTTATATATAGATTCGGAAATTATTTCCGATTTCTTTATTCGCTCTTTTTTTCGGTAACATCCTTGTATCAACTAAAACACGAGGGTTGCACTACAGAGTATATTTTCCAGTGACATACATGTTTTGATGAGCCATCCATCAGTACTATGCTTTATATATGGCAATATCCATTCTGAAGTAATAATTTTGATAAATCTTCATACAAACCTCTAATATATATTCGTTGTTCAACCATGTCACAAACTATTCTTCTTTTAATCTCAATCTTCGATGAAAATTTTGTAAAAGTCTAGATATTATATTTGATATCATGCAATCAAAAACCATTTATGACCTAGGAGATACAAAATGTTTCACAACATCAGAAAAGGCTCCGCGGATACACCATACAAGGTTAAGTTGCAACCATACTGAATATACCGCTCTAACTGACACATGTGTCGAATATTGAAAATATAAGAAACAATCTTTTAATCTTTTGTGCCAAAAGCATCAAGATTTTGCATGCGTTCTCAACGCTTTTATATACACGTTCATGAATATTGATTGTGTTCGCCATTAGATTAAAATGGAATTGAGATTCTCCACATCCATTGATATACTCATCTCTACTTTGCAGTAGACTGAAATGTGAAAGGAAGGGCTTCTATCCGTCATCAATGTTTCTTAATGTGTTGCTTTTCATGTAGTGCTATACATCTAATCTTTTTATTCTCATTTTGAAGAAATTAATAAGAGCATTTTGTTTGGGTGTTTTCTCTGCTACATGATTTGATGACTAAAGAAAAGCTGGGTGCGGGTGTGGGTTATAACAGTTTATATCTGTATGTACACCCACACCCTCCCACAGACCGTTACCAACAGGTTAAGAGACCGTTGGAAACCGTGGCCGACGCCTCAATGGCTCAGTTACTTAAATAACTACTATGCAATTACTTAATTGACCATCACAGACCGTGACAGACGGTTTTCAAAAATGACTACAGATCGCGACATACGCTTTAATTAATTGACTAATTAGTGCCATATGAATTGAGTGCCTATCACAAACTGTTACAGAAGATCTTCAGAGATCATCACACAGCGTGACATACAATCTTTAGACCTAGCACAGGCCATCAGAGACGCTGTTTCAGCCTAGCGCAGATCATCACTGGTAGCGGCTAACGAGCTGTCTCACAAAATCAACAAAGAACTCCCTTGAATACAACATTTCCATGTGATTTTCTGCAGTGATTATGTCGTGTTTCACATTTTTAATCCCAAAGGGATTGCCCTAACAGCTATTTTGTGAAACACGATCTGAAAGGAGTGTTGAAGTATATAGGGTAGAAATT